GGAATCCCTTTTCAACGACGCAATCACAGTCGTGCTCTACGACATCATGTCCGCATTTGCTGGCAAAGATATTGTGTCACTACACGAGATCGGTGTCGGAGTTGCCTCATTCTTCACGGTCAGTTTGGGAGGATTTCTCATCGGAGTGATTGTGGGCATTATATCCTGTCTGATCACTCGTATCAAAAGTCATCTGGGTGCGTTCATTCTCATCTTGTTGGCATACTTCTCCTACATCATGACTGATTGTGTCGGATGGTCCGGGATCATTTCCATGATCGGTTGTGGTTTGATTCAAGCGGCCTATGCATTCCACAATCTGGATGCGAAATCGGTCAGTTTGGTACACCAATTGACAAAACTGGCGGCCGAAATATGTGAATCAATGATTTTCCTCTATCTCGGCATTGAGATCGTGAGTGTCAAATTGCGATGGCACACCGGTTTCATGCTGTGGGGATTGGTTCTGTGCTTGTTGGCTCGTGCACTCATTGTGCTCGTAGTCACGGCTATTGTGAATGCAGTTCATGTGGACGGGACGAAAATATCCCTGACCGAGCAGGCAATTCTCATCTACGGAGGACTTCGCGGTGCCGTCGCGTTCTCTCTGGCTGTTCTCCTCGAACACAGACACTTTGGATTCCAAGGTGAATACAGCAGACGCTTGATTATCACCGAGGCACTGTTCATCATTTTGTTCACAGTCGGATTTATGGGTATGACAATGAAGCCGTTAGTGAAATTGTTGAAAATTCGTATGCAAGGTCGGGAGCCACTAAGCCTGTTCGGGGTGCTCAATAGCAGTGTGACGGACGAAACGATGGCCGGTTTGGAAGTGATCACCGGTGTGAAAGGTCGAAATCGTATTCGTGAGCTTTTCATGCGATTAGACGACAAATATTTCCGTCACTGGTTAATTCAAGATCCGGAAACTCATGACGAAAAAATGATGAAAGTGTACGAGAAGATCTCGCTAAAATTGCACGATGCTCAAATTCGACCGGACCGTCAAAAATCCATTCTGGCAGATTTACCCGACGCTTTGCGCCAAAAGTTCCTGGAATCCGAATATCAAACTCAACCACTTCTACCTGCTTCATGGCCGGTGGAAGATGTCGCGGATTTGGAATTGGGCAGTGATGATTCCGAGATGGCTGCCGCATTCGCTAAATGCATGCGTTCCACCCGTCGACCCACACTCATTCCGAATGATAAACGGCAAATGGGTTTTGGTGACACACTGCACGGTGTTATGCGTGCCCGACTGATGTCTCAAGTCAGGCCACGTGGTCGCCAACCTAGAGGCACATATAATGAAGGATTTGCTTCGAACGAGTCTGAATAATATCTCGATTGGTGGATGGAAATGATAATTCCGGGTGACTGAACAACTAGTTTTCTTATTTTGGTTTACCGTAAACTGCTGTGTTCTGCCCGGTAAATTTATCACCACTGCGTCATCTTTACATGAGGCTTATGTGGTCTGTATTTCTTCCATTTGGTTCTCACCCTTATTTCCGGCATTCTGTTATTTTGTTTCAATTACTCATATTGTTACATACTCAGTATACGAGTTACCCGATATGGTTTTGATTTCTAGTTGAATACTTAGACGAGAAACTGAGTGATGATTTTAGTTGTCAGTAGTTAGGAATGGTATAATTAGATGCACCCGACTCTATAGAACAGATCGGACACTGAAGTGGGTATTCAGTTTGGGTACGTCTCTCGTGACTGGGATCAAACTAAGCTAAGTGATCCATACGCTCATTTGATCAGATTCGTGGCAATCGCATGTCATAACGCTATGCTATGCTATTGAAGTAAATTACAGCTGTTAGGCTTTGCTGAAAGTGCAATCAAAGTTCACGTTAGATTAAACATAATTGGGGAATTTAGCTGTCATTATTCAAAAATATTGATTTGGATTTTGCATGAGCATAAACACCTTAAATAGAATGAATCTCGTCAGATTGCATCCGGAAGAGTGTTCCATTGACACAATTCTGTACAGAATGCAATTGAAAACACGTGAACGTTCAAGGAAACGTAAGAACAAGGATTTCCAATGTTCTTTAATAACATCTCAAAGCTAACGTTATTGTGGGTGGTGGATAAACCCCTACCGCTTCACTGTGGCCAGCGCACGAAATCGAATCTGCCTTGATAGTGGACAACGAAACAGAAACCAGGGGAGAAATTTCTCAGACATTCACCGGGTGATTTGTTTCAACTATGTGTAAAACTTAGACAATCAAGCTTGGATTAATCCATTCGATTGCTCAGAGGCCACAAGCACTCTTGATAGTCTTGGGTGTGGGTTTCACTCTTTGGGAAATTGCCAATTCTCCACGAGGAAAATGCATTCGAATGCAATAGAAATCGTTGTGATGATCGACAAAGAGCGCTAGGCAAATGTTTCGGCCTGTTTGTGACTCGTCAGCAGTGCCCGTACTTTTTGTGTCCCTGTCAGGACTGGCACCGAGCGCATTCGGATATGTATTTCAAACACTTACCCCTAACTGATAACTTCCGAACTGGGATATAAGTTTCATGTCCTAAATATAAATCTCACAAACCGACTGGGCAGTTTTTGTCTCTGAACCTCAACAGAAATCTAGTCAAACACATGCATGTGAAGCAAGGAGAACTTGTTCGGGAGACAGTTTACCTCAGGAAGTGGAAAGTATAAAGCAAACACTGCAAACGATTATCCGGAACTATTCGTTCTGACAGAACGGTCACCGAGAGCACCACTGAAAACAGTCAAACGAAAAGTACTCTTCATAAAACGTCCGTTTATAGGAAATCATAAGTCTGAATTACTAAGGCGCCGATTAGAAAAGGCCATCGCTCGTACTTTCCGTGTCGCAACGCTAAGTACTCAATTCACAAGCCGACGAATGGTTTCCATAAATCCTAAAGATACATTGCCTAGCCTCTCCTCATCTATGAGCATTTACCTTTTTTTTGCTCATGTTCGGCAAGTCATATAGGAAGAACGATCAGACAATTGTTGCAAACAATATAGGAACACGGGCATAAGGAAAACGATTACAAGTGTCGTGGTAGAGAACACCTTGCAGACATAGGAAATCAAACAAACGGGCACGCATTCAAAGTGTTCTACAAAGTAGTACCAGCAAACCCATTCAAGGTCGTTCTTTAACGGCACCTTACTACATCCGAGGCGTTGGCTATTCCCCTACACAACCCATCCCTTTGTTCTCAAAAAACGATTTGTTCAGTCACTTCGCTTACCCTGGCTTCAACCTGACACAGCTGACCGAAACCACCGTGACCTTTGTCATCAACTGGGGGTGCACACCGGAAATGGAAAAGCTCACTCTATCCACCAACTGCTAACATTTCGGAACCACACCAAAAAAGACTGCGCTAGTTCTTTTCCAAACCATACATCACAAGATCACAATCAACCAATAAAGGGATAGTGTAATGGTCTTATGTTATGGATATTAATCCATCACATAAGACCATTTACTACTTCAAGTGAATCCGTTGTAACTTCACGTTAATCCAACCAATCGCATTCCATTGGGAAACCCAGAAAATTATTGGACCGGGTCAGTCTAAACCCTGTCCAGTCCGCATGAACTAACCTCTCCGTAAACAAACAAAAGTATTTTTAAGTAAATTATCAAGCGAGGATCAAAGTTTCGGTGACGTGGGGTGAGTTGGGCCGTTCGCACCCACCTCATCCTACGATTCCAACCGGGGACCTTTTGTTCGTGAATGTTGATTGAGTGTGCGTCCTAGACACGAATGAGCTAACTGACCTTTGTCGATCGGGTAAGGAAGCGAATCACATCAAGATGGATTGATAAATCGGTCACCTGGCCCAGACGTGAATGTAAGCATGATTCATCGTATGGGTGGAGTCAGTCTAAGCTATCAATAACGCAACGAGTAAATTCCATTGAGGCCGAGTTTCTCTCGAATAAAACCGATTCCTTTGAATCAAGTGCGATTGCTTATGTAGTTCTGACATTGAAAGGTACACTTGACGAGATGACGAGATAATGGGTGTGGATACTGCAGTTAGTTTCTTCTCCAGAGTCACTCGCCACTCAGATGAAAATGACTGCTCATTTATCGGAAGCGAAAATGAATCCAACTTGTTGTGTTGCAATCATGTAATGCATGAACTGCCCGCCTTGACTTGTCTTTAATCAGCAGGTGCCCTGGAAAACACTGCCTACCGACGGCCTGATTCTGTATGAAATTATTCAAAAACGTAAAATGGAAAACAGTGGAAGCAGTGCGATTTGTGGAAAATTCTACACCTTTTTTTATAGATGAACTTGACTACTGAGGAAATTAGCTTGTCTTAACCACGAGGAATGAAAACCAAAACACAAAACCGTTGGTGACGACGCTATTAACATTATCAATCATGAACTTGACTGTTTTTATTTTAGTGGAATGAGTGGTGAGTGATTCTGGAGAAGAAACTAACTGCAGTATCCACACCCATTATCTCGTCATCTCGTCAAGTGTACCTTTCAATGTCAGAACTACATAAGCAATCGCACTTGATTCAAAGGAATCGGTTTTATTCGAGAGAAACTCGGCCTCAATGGAATTTACTCGTTGCGTTATTGATAGCTTAGACTGACTCCACCCATACGATGAATCATGCTTACATTCACGTCTGGGCCAGGTGACCGATTTATCAATCCATCTTGATGTGATTCGCTTCCTTACCCGATCGACAAAGGTCAGTTAGCTCATTCGTGTCTAGGACGCACACTCAATCAACAATCACGAATATTCGATTTTACCCATCCAACTTACAGAGGCATCCACCAGTTAGTATGTAAGCTGACTGCCCCGATAGGTTTTCCTTAGAAATCACCGGAATCCACCAAATGAGCTTCTAAGACAAGGATGATTGTTCAAATTGTTGTTTGGCGGATTTAAAGTTTGTATGTAGTTTGTATGTAGCTCAGCTGGTAGAGCATGGGCGTACGAAGCGTAGGCGGCGTCCATGCGTGGGTTCGAATTCCACCGAGGCTAATGAACTTTTCACAATCGACATACAAACTTCAAATCTGCCAAACAACACTTGAACGGTCACGAATATAACGTTCCCAGGTGAAACGGGTGTGTGTGTGTGGGGAGGAGAACGGGCCACATCAACCCACAACCCTGAAACATTCAACCCCGCTCAGTAACTCACTAGAAAAGTACTTGTGTTTGTTTACGGGCTAAGGATTTCATTCGGACTGGGCGAGGTTTAGACAGGCCGGATCCAATGGGTGACATTTGACGGCCGAAACACCAATAATCTTGTGGGGTTTCAGTGGAGTGCGATTGGTTGGATTCATTTGAAGTTACGGTAGATTAACTGGAAGTTGAAAAGGTTCACCGAATGCCAAATTTCAGGTTCCGAGTTAAATGGACATACTTATCGCACCGGTAGGGGGTTGCACATGAAGCTCTGTGCCAGCCACTCTTGATACACCATATTATCATCGCAAAACAGCCTCGTGCAATAGTTTCTCAACATTCGATATTTGGTCCAATTCACATTAATTGGCAAGATAGATCTCCGAAATAAATCCCTTTTCCTCGAATGACTTCAAATGAGCTGATGTTCGGATGATAGATTTGCTATGAAACCTAGTTATAATCACCAATGTTGGTATTTTTGTAAGACTAGCATTCAATTTCTGCCACGGGAAGAGCAGCTTTAGTTCCTCGCCATGGGAAACCAACTGACGGAGTAAAATTGCATAAATTCTTGCACAGGATTTGNGATATGCGAGAGTTGTTTGTAGAACTTCTCTTGACGGAAGCATAACCATATTGTAACGGGAGTAATGCATGGTCAGTGCGTTCCAGTGGGGACGTAATGGTGAGATACTCTTTCTCTAACCAATACTAAATCCCGGTTTGATAGCAAATGCACGTTTGTAAACTTGATGACCTTTGTCACACAGTTATACAGCGGATGCGATTCATTTGGCGGTTCGGACAANNTCGGACAAATGCTCGAATGTTGACCGAGCAACCATTGATTTACGAAGGTTGGTGCAATTGAAATCATGGGTACATCTTACCGCAAGAATGTGTAAAACGGCTATGTTGGCTGCCTCATGGAATGATCTAGGACAATGAACTACACTAAACAAACATTGATGCTACTTAAACAGTCAATCGGTGGATACACTTGCAATTACAAAGGCTTTATTTGAAGTTCAAATTGTATAGTATAGATATATGAGTCTCAAACTGAAGTTCGTTCTATCGAGGATGAAATGTTTTTTCCAAATATTCACTATTAACACCAGAGTCACCTAGAAATACTTCTTTCCATTCCGT